GCAGGCGGCCCTCCGCCTTCCCAGGTAGGACTTGGAAGGGCCCAACAATAGGATCTCCCCCAAGAAGAGACCAACGGGCTTCCTAAGTCGATCGAACAGCTCAGGCGAATGCCGAGAGACAGGTAAGGAGCAGAGGGACACCCCATGTGGGCCATACCAACTCCGTGATGAACGACGAACATGGATCCCATTCGGACATATCCGATAAAAACTCCTCAAGCCTGTCACTCGAGTCGTCAAGGTAACTCTACAAATCCCTCTTACTTTATTTTTTCTGATGCATGGTCATTCATTCATCCATTCTTATACACGCATTCATGCATTCATTCATACAATCATTCATTCATCCCTTACATCCAAAGCATCGCATATCCAGCTAAATGCATCACAACGCTTCGTGTTGCGTCATGAAACGGTTGTTGCCTGATTCAAACATGAGCAACGACCGACCGGGGTTTGAAGGCCGGCCCACGAAGGGCTCAAGGTCGCCTCACGTCAAACAGAGCCAGGGGAGAAAATGCAGATGAGCCCTAGCAGCCCTCGCCCAATCTGCTCAGAAGCAGACAGGGTCATCTCAACCTTCTCGTTCGATCCTAAGCTCAAGCCATGCCCATAGAATCTCCATCAAGGGGAGACCAGCGGCCCACCTGAGTCGATCTTCGGAATGACCCGGGCATCTGCCGGGATGCGGGTTAAGGAGCAGTGGAATGCCATATAAGGGCTATGCCGACCCCGTCACGAACGACGGACCCGGATTCCACTCGAACATGCCCATTAGCGAGCTAACCCAGCGCGTCGCTCGAGCCATCGAGGCAAGTGATGTTAGCTCAGCAACTCCGATTGCGGAAACCGCAGACAGGGTAACACACAGAACTAGACCAACCCCTACCGAGCCGAACGAGGTACAGGAGCTTCGGTCGCCCGACACCGACTCAGGAAATCAACCAACCGCGCAGGTCGCGGGTGAGACAAACACGGGCGAACATCTCAAACGGCAGTCTACGGCACCAAGAAAGAGTACCAAGATGCTCAGCCTCCAACCGACTCACCAGTCGGACGTAGGCTCGGGGGCTACACCCGCGGGAGCGCTCACGCGCACCCGCTGTCAAAACGAAAAATTCCCCCACTGGCAAAACGAAAAACCCCCCAGACGATTCTACCTGAATCGTCCGGGGGCTCGGGGGCTACATCCGCGGGTGCGCTCGCGCGCACCCGCTGTTAAGACAAAAAATCCCCCAGACGATTCTACCCGAATCGCCCGGGGGCTCGGGGACTCGGGGGCTCCTGTCGGGTTCATAAACCCTGGGTCCCTCATGGACCTGCTTCCCAGCAAAAGCTCGGCCGAGAAGACGATGTTGCGAACGATGCGCAACTCCTGGGTCCGTCCAAAAAACCTAACGACAGGCCAGAAGGGCGATCCTGGCCAAGGAGACTCTGACCCGCCTCTCTGATCGAAAGGCCTGGCCAAGGAGGAACGACGTTCGCTTCCGACTCCGGCCTGCCTCTTCGACCGAAAGGCCTAGCCAAAGAGGAACGGCGCTCGCTTCCGACTCTGGCCCGTCTCTCCGACCGGAAGACCTGGCAAAGGAGAGGACGACGCTCGCTTCTGACTCCAACCCGCTTCTCCGACCGAGAATACACCGAACCTCTGCTTACAGCTCTTCTCCGATCGGGAGGCCGGAGCCGACTGGGGAACGACCGACCGGGGACGCCCGCTCAGTGAAGACGCAGAAAGCGGACAGAGCAAGTAAGGCGAGGCGCTACAGTCAACCATAATACCGAGGATCATACCATGCACACCTGTAGGACAGTACTGTTAGACCGTGTCAGAAGGATGCTCCGCAACCTTCCAGATATGTTAGAACATGAACAATGTTGTGGACGCCGACATTTATCCTACAGTATGGTAGGCGTCTGCATTTTCCATACCAGAAGAACGCAGCGGAACTGACCACATGCATCCAGCCATCAACAGTGTTGTGAGCGCCGATAAACCACCTTGTACCCAACGGCGTGGGCAACATGACTAGGTAGCGCACACACACTCTTTCTCTCACACTCTTTCTCTTGTAAAGCCATCCTCTTTATCTATAAAAGGGGATGCGTTCTCTCCAAAAGGAGGACGATTCAGACAACTGATTCCGATTCTCTCTGCTTGGCTCTAGAACTCTAAAGCCAGACAGAGCGTATGTTCGAACACTTAGCGCACGTCGGAGCTCCCGTCACTCTCGGCCCTTCGGTCCGAAGTCCGGCCGGACCTCTGATACCCCCACATCTTACTCATCTCGTTTGTAACCCCACAACAAATTTTGAGCACCTGGGCTCAGGAATAAAGTCACCGACCGACTCAAACTGGACGTAGGGCACGTTGCCTGAACCAGTATAAACCCTGTGTCATTGAGTGTTAAGCCACATCCGATCACAACGTACGGCAAAACTATAAATATTTACGTGTTGGTCACTTTTTATACCGACACGCACGTTGCAATAGGACATACAATTTATTATGTGTTGCTTGTACCAATAATAGTGAGCTAGCTATTGTTGGATTTAATTGGACTTGGCTCAACCTTAAATAAAAAAAAAGGTTCAAAGCCCATAATAAATGCTAGTATAATAAAGGATTAGTTCCATACTAGAAATTAAAAGATGATTTTAATCAACTTAAATACATGGTTATTGCATGCATCTATTATGAGTTTAAGAAAGATAAAACATGAGCCACATGCCCACGTACGCGTCGTAGTATCACGAACGAGTTTGAATGGCCATGCCAAGAGGTGAGTGATGCGCAACTACAATCAAAGTTTTGTGGCTCCAAACTCAGGTGAGAAGTGACTAGTGCGGGAGGGAGGGAGGGACTAACATATAGGGGAGAGAGGTTCTTTCTTCGCTCTTTCATGTCAGGTGGAGTGAAGGGTTTGACTTTACTTATATATTTTTTTAATAAGGAAACAAAGTTCCAGAATGACTTTACTTATATATATATGGCCTATTTCAAATGCGTGGATACATCAAACGGCTTATGAGGCCATGTCCAATGCGCCAGTATGGATGGTGACTCTAAGCCTGTTCGATTGACTGGTTCGTATTGTTGCTGATTCGTTTATATGAGAGAGAAGTACTGCCGGCTGATTCATTATAACAGTGTCCATGTGAGGGGGCTGGCCAGCCCAGTCAGCCAACCAGCCCGAGCCGAACACGGCGTCTATCATGCCAGTAAGAAGAAATCTGACTTGGAGCCTTTGAAGTGAGAGAAGAAAAAATAGTAGCTTACAAGGTGGTAGTAGTACATGCAGAGGCACTCATAGCCTTAGGAGAGAGAGAGAGAGGGAGAGAGAGAGAGAAATGTAAGACTGTTGTATTCTTACTTCTTTTTTGTATCCATCCATGTGACTTGTATTGTAGCATTGCGGTCTTATTAGTGGTTTGTAAATACATGTCGTCTTCTCTCTTCTAAGGTCACCACTTCGCATTGGACATGGACTAAGCGACCAAATTTTTGGAAGAACCTGAAGGAGATATTCCTACACTCCAAACAATGTTTTAATCCGAAATAATCAAATAATGTAATGGGGAATCCTTTTCACCCCGATCGTTAGCCCATTCTCATAGGCTGTTTGGTTTGGGAAATGAGTGAGCTCATCATTTATTCATTCCTACTTTTTTCTAGTTTGTGAAATAGAATGGGTTAATGTATTATCGCCTCATTTCTCACAAGCTAATAATTAATACTAGTATAAAAAATCAAGTTATCTCACCAAATTTAAGGAATCGACTTATGATACACCACCTCATTTCAGATGGAGATATTCCTCAAACCAAACACTGTATAACTAGATGGCTAGCTGACTCTGTCATTGAGCATTGCAGTACTGGGCCGAGTGGGTTGGAAGATTCTAAATGGGCTGGGCTCATGCGCGTTTCACTGATCCGTTTGCAATCTAGTTAATACAATTTTTTTTATTATATATAGGACCAGAAGGCCTGATTCGAGCCCGAGCTAACAGAGCAGTAGAGCACCTCCTGCAGCCTGCAGGAGATACCCCTACGACTTGCCTAACCAAACAAACAATTGCCTCCAATTCGTAATCGCAAATCAAGAGAGGAACTACCTCGACAAAGATTTATTTGGACTGCACGTGAGTTTACCAGGACGCAAAAGGTGAATATATAATGTTGGCATACTTCACAAAATATGTTTCTTTCTGCGGAAATGGCGAATCCTGCTACATGAGCTTCACACTTTCGCTAGCTAAGCTTGTGGTGTGGTGCAGACGGCGACGGTGAAAAGATGGCCTGGCCGGGAGCGAGAGAGATCATCCTGCATCCTGTTTTGTGGTGTCTATCCAGTAGTGTATCTGTAACATGGAATATGCGAGTGTTATTGCATTTTTATTACATATTAATTTTCAACCTTTACCTTTTGTATAAGATAAAGATGGAAAGGTGGTGTTCCCAGCAATGAAAAAGAAAAGAAAAGAAGGCGAGGTGCTTTCCTGTTAAGAAAGGAGTAACGAAATAACCAAAAATACTGGGGCAAAATCTTCACTCAAGATTCTAAGAACGATCGCAACTCGCAAGACCAGTCAGACAATTGCAAATCATAGCTGATTGATTATGAGCATCAAACATTACAAGGGCAAATTAAGGAGGAGGCTTTACATGTAGTGCAATACGCATAAGACGATCGAGGAGCACTACTGCATCCCCGCCCCGCCCTTTTTTACATGGCATCAGGAGCAGCTACTAGCAGGGGCTATGCGCCCGTGCTCCTCGCACTCACAAGTCACAATACACACACTGAACAGAAAGCTTAATTCTGCACAACACCACATACTTGTGCACACTTGCATGCATGCCTATTATATATCCATAATTACACACAGGCACACGAACACACGTATATATCTCAGGATTCACGTACGTACATGACGAACAATCATTGCACGCGCGCGCGGCGTGCTGGCGCGCGGCGGTGTTTCCCGGCCGGCCGGCGCTCATCTCTGGGGCCGGTTGGCTCTGCCCCTGCGAAATCATATCGAACCACATGTACGTGTAAATTAGGCAGGCCGCAGGCATTCATAAACTGAAGTCTCTATCGGTGTGTGTGGTCGATCGGACTAGCTAGGCGGGAATATGCACGCGAAGTGACGACGCACCTGTTGTTGTTCCCGTTGTTGCCGTTGCGGGCGCCGGCGTTGGGGTTGGGGTTGGGGTTGCCGTAGCCGCCGGACTCGATGTCGCCGACGTCATTGACGAGGTAGGCGTAGTGGCGCCTCGCGTCCTCGGCGGTTTTCCCGCCGCCCACCGCGGCGGCCACGAGCTCCCACCGCCTGGGCGTGTCCCGGTCGTAGGTGGCCAGCGCGCGCTCGAACACCGCGTTCTCACTGTCGCTCCAAGACATGATGATAGCTACTAGATCCCTCCTCTCGCAGCTCTCTCTTCTTACTGCACGCTAGGTGATGACCACGTCTAGCTCGCCTCAGCTGGATCCTGCTTAGGTTGATCTGTATGTGTTGCTTCGAACCAGGCATTCGATGGTTGATGGTATTTATAGAGGGACAAAGATAGGCTTTGTCGCAACATGGGTCTAATTAAAACCTCCACCTCCTACATATATGCATGCAACATACGCTGCAACAATGCAAATCGATCGGCATAGCATAATAGTCGTGATGCTATGCTACTATATGTATTATTGTAAGAGGCTAGTTGCTAAAGCTCAATGCGAAGAGGGTTCGGGAAGTAAAACAAGTGCAAATTGTGGGACAGGGGCTTGTAATGGCAGGTAGCCGATGAGCGAGCTGATTGGCGGACGTTTTATTCGACAGACGTATCGAGGCTTTAGGCGATGGCATTATTTTAACAGCAGCTTGCCTTTCTGTTAAATGGTTGCCAGATCAGAGGGATCGATGCCGCCCTTCTTTCATGCTTTACCTGCCGGGCAAATAGCTTGCGGTCTTCCACAGTTCCACTCAAGTTCAAGGGCATCTTTGAGGGGGAAGTTAACGCGTGACCCGTCGCGCTGTCGAGCGAGTGCGCGACCCAGCCGCCGCCACCGCCGCTGCCGCCCACCGCCCCGCCACGGCGCAGTAAGGTATCGCCGGAGCTCCGCGGATCCTATTGCGCCCGCGGCGGCCTCTTTCTTCCCCTCCGACTTCCTGTCGCCGCCATGGTCATGGGCGCCCCTGCCTCGATCTGACCTCGCTGCCTCCTACAACGTCGGAACCTAACCGCCACCCTCACAGTTAGAATTTTAGGCGTGTTTTGGTATATTTCAATCAATTTAGAAAAATAGCAGGACGTTCGTGACAATTATATAGAGATGTGATTTTATTATTTCTAAGCATATATGGATAACACAGTCATGCTGGTCAAAAGGAACTTTAGAAAAAATGATGGTTGTATCTCGAGGCGGAACCAGTGGGCACCGGCGGTACCCCTCCCACTAGTCGACAGAGTAGGCTATTCGATATAGTCGTTCACACTTACACGTGCAATGCAGAAGTGAAGTTGTGCCCAATGTAGTGCGAATCTTGCTATACCTGTGCTTCAAACTTTCGCACCAGGGAGTGGAGGTGCTAATAGCTTGGAGGAGTCATCGTTGTGGGAGTACTCCCTCTGTAGCTAATAGAGTGTCATCCTCGCTTCTCGAGAGGTTAAACACCTCCAATTTTGATCAAATATATAAAAAATATTAATATTTATAGTACATGTTTAGTATCATTACATAAATCATTAAATATTTTTTTAATAAACTTATTTAGAGATACAAATATTGTTAATAATTTCTATTTAAGAAAGATTGACAAACACCATAGCGATGCTGTTTACCGAGAGAGAGAAGGAATGAACAGTCATGCAAAGATGCGCTCCAAAAAAAACGTTATGCCCTGTTGCGGTACATGTTCGCAGCAGACCTTGATTTTGGAGACCTGCTCTTCAAGTTGCCTATGCACGCCCAAGAACCCTGGGATGGAGAAGCCGAGTAGCCGCAGGAACAGAGAACGGTGATGGTGAGTTCCGCGCGAGACTGGAGTTTTTTTTTAATGTGTCCAATTAGTAATAATAATTTTATTAGTGTTACGATTAGAAATCAGAGGGAAATTACATCACAAATTAGGGAAAACAAATGAGTTTTGAAAAGTCTCCGCGACACCAAAGGGCATGTAGTCGGCACCACATGAGCAATATTTTGCTTCCATAGTCTACATTTTTTTCCTTTCCTTCCGCATATACTACTGGTCAAAGCAAAAGTTCCAACAAGCTAGATTTGCATTCTGGATTGCTTGCCTTATATTGAAAAATAGGATAGGCCAATCATGTCCCATCTCACATATTTGGCTTACCATGACTAGCAGTCTATAGCACATATAAAATGGCTCCATCACAGGAAAAAGGAATTGGGTCAAGTTGTGCACCTGACTTTATGCCCAGCATTTGTATATGCACACTGCTTGGGGATCATGAACAAAAAGCAAATGATAAGGAATAATGCATTAGTTATATATGTAACACAGCGCAAGTGCACGAAAGGCCGGGGAGAGGACTTAGATTCCTGCAACATTGTATTATGCGCACATTAATAACTTCACTCACAAGTGGGTTGTTATTGCATAATTGCGTTGCACGGGGATAGATACAAACTTAACCTGAGATAACCACGCACCAGATAGCACATTAGCATTAAGGAATAGTTTCAGTTTACAGTGTTGTGGCACGGGATTTGGACATTCAGTTTACAGTGTTGTGGCACGCGATTTGGACATACGGACTTGCTAGTGTTCGGACGTTCGATCTGGGGCGCTAGCGCCCGGATGGTGCTCGCACGACGAATGAGCGAGCGCCCTAGCGCGTCGGGCTCGCGAGCGCCCCAGCAGCGGGCCCGCGCCGTCATACGTCGCCCACGCCGCCAGCCACTTTCCACACGCATCCCATGTGCAACACTTGATTTAATTTTGAAACATCCAGATGCAACATTTGAACATACAAAAAAAGATAAATGAAACACTTGAAACAAGCGTCTGAAACACTTGCGAAAACACTTGCAAACCATTGCAAAACATATGCAACATCCAGATGAAACATTTGCAACATACATATAAAATAAGTAAAACACTTAAAACATATGCTTGCAACAGCGTGTATATGAAACATCCAGATCTACTTTTGCAATATCTAGATAAAACACTTGCAACATACGTTTAGAATTGATGAAACGTTTGGAACATACATTTGAAACATATGTGTATAGCCATTACAACACGTGCAACATCCTGATCTACTTTTGTAACATCGATATACAACATTTGCAACATACCTGTTGTCGGATACCAGAAAATGGGGTACCCCAAGCAAAGATCGAAAAACTGCTTAGACCCTAAAAACAGAACCAACGGAATAAACAAACGAGGTCTCGGCCGAAATCTCCGATTCGCCCGAGACCCCGTCGCCGAACCCCAGCGGAAGCAAACGGTTCTCCGACTCGCCCGAGACCGTCTCGCCGAGGCCCCGCAGATCGAGGCCCCTCGCCGGGGCCTCGGAAGAAGTGTCGATTCTCCGATTCGCGAGGCCGGCTCGGCACCAACCCGTGACCGCCTTTTTTGACCAAACCGCTCGACCGAACGTCACATTCAGCGCCCAACCACTCCGGCTGAGGCGCACGATGGCACGAACAACGAAGTGGATCGGCTACACGCCGGTCGCGTCAACCCCCGCCATCACGAGACGGCCGCAGGCGGGGTTACCGACCACCGTGTCTTTGCGCTAACTCCCGCACCAAGGACATCGCAACGCGGGGAGTCGAACGGGTTCCTGTAGCCTCGGAATCAGCCGGACCGACCACTCCGTCTCGCCCGAGCCCCTCGGCAGGGCCTCGGATTCACCGATCTTACTTACGCCTCGCCCGTCCGCCTCGCCCGAGACCCCCTCGGAAGGGCCTTGGGACGAATCGGCCCGCGCTCCGCCGCCCGAGGCGGGCTTGTCCCACAACCTCGTCGCCTCGCCTCAAAAGTCTCTCTCGGCAGCTATCACATCCGACACGCGCTCGGCCGCACCCACTACGTAAGCCACGATCGGCAGTGCGCTGCAACAGGAGTGATGGGACAACGGTTAGATCACCTTTTTTACCATCCCTACTGACAACACATGTACCATATCCTGTAGGCGCACGTCTCGCACTATTCCACCTGATGGCTACTGAGACCCGCATCTGCACCTGGGTCACTTCTCAGGCCTCGGCACGACAGGCCTCGGCACGACCGGCTACGAAGGCCGCCGAGCCTCTGCAATCCACCAAGTCAATAAATGCGCAGCATGTTACTTGCAGTGAAGACCATACCGATTAGACATCTACGGGAACTCCCACGACAACGCCATGCTGCTCCAGGAGTAAATACGTCATCGAATAGTCCTTGCTCCACGTGTAGCTCTTTTATGTACTCCTGGTTTCCTCCCTACGGCTATAAAAGGAGGCAGCCAGGACCGTTTCTAGGACGACGGATAGAATCACAGATACTCGCACGAACAACATGCCTCGTTCTGTAATTCATATCACCTCCCCTCACAGAGACCTGGGACGAATTCCCTCTCTCGCCTAGCTTGTAACCCCCTACTACGAGCACCCCGGTGCAAGGAATACAAGAACACCTTCTCAGACTGGACGTAGGGCATCCATTGCCCAAACCAGTATAAACCTTGTGTCTCTTTGCATCTCCATCCGGAATTGGGAGCACGCAGCACAAATTCACTAGTCGGTTAAGGACCCCCGGTTCCGAAACACCGACAGTTGGCGCGCCAGGTAGGGGCCTCTGCGTGTCAGCTTAGTCATCCCACCAGATTCCGGATGGCAGATCCCGTGCGATCGTTGCGTCTCGGGACGATCGTCTGGTTCGGGAGCCTAGAATTCATGTCTCTAGGGCATGAGTACGACATGGTACTCCTCTCACCCAGAGCGCCATCGACCGACGACGACGTCTTGCACCGGCAGCCCACGCGCGGACGGCGCCCGGGCCGCCGCTCCCGTCAAGCTCGCCGAGCGCCGCGCGGGCGAGTCCACCCTAACACCACGCAAGTATGGAACGCCAATCTGTGCTCCACCGGAATCCCATACCCGGCTGGCGGCATAGAGTCCTCAGACGGGACCTGTCCGGCTTAAGCCTCGGCTTGGGGAAAAAATGCGGATGGCATGCGGCGACACCCCATCATCAAGCTCTGTCCCGCCTCCTCCCGAGGAGCCAGCTCTGACGGAGCAGAGCATGGCGACGGCGCCATCCCCGTACCCTTTCGGGCTGACCAATGTCGCCGCCTCCTACGCCACCGCCCTCGTCTCCATTCATCAACGTCATGCCCATAACCCCATAGTCACAACTCCAATCCACCCCCACTCTGACTCCTCGGAGGAGG